CAAAGGTCCCCAAGAGGGGCAAAATCACCCCCAGTTGAAAACCTGTGCTCTATCCCCTTTCTGCAACACTTGGCATCATCCAGCTAATTTTTTCTCTGATTACCAATTATTTTAAGCACCTTCTCATATGCTTGACAGTTTTTAAGGATTTTTTGTAATGTTAATTCTGTTAAGGTTGCTGGCCTCTTTTTGTTGATTTGCAGGAGTGCTCTCTGTATTCTTGATATTTGTCCCTTATTGGAGTTGACATAGCAAGTATCTTCTCCCATCCTTTCCACTAATTAACTCTATCCACTGTGCACTTCACTGACAGAAATCCTAAATTTTCATCTATGAGAGTCATCCGTATTTTGCTGTATCGTTTATCCTTTGGAATTTTTATTAAAGAAGTCCTTCCTGGCCCTAGGTCACAAGATATTTCCCTCTATTCGCTTTACACATTTACCTTTTATAACTTGGTCTTGAATCTATATGGAGCCCAACCTTCTATGTGGAATTGTGTAGGAAACCACTTGTATATCTCCTACAGTGAATCCGCCTCTCCCCTGCCAATTTGTGATGCCACTTTGACTGTAAACTAAGTCTCCTTATATGTGCGGGTTTGTCCCCAAGCTCTGCTTTGATCTAATAATCTAGTCCTGCACCAATACCCATAAACGTGTTTTCATAACTGACAGGCAAGGTGCCCCTCATTCTTCAGTGAACTATTATTTTTCCACCTAAAATTTAGTGTAAAGTTATCAAATTTACCAAAATGTCCAAGTGCCATTTTTGTTGAGGTTGCACTAACTTTATAAAATGATTTGAGGACAATGAACATGTTTATAATATTAAGTTATCCTACCTAGGATTATTCAGCTTTTCTTCTACTTGTTTCCTTTTCTTATAGTTTTCATTAAAGACGTCTTTGTATGCTTGTTGAAGTTGATTCCTGGGTACTTTATACTTTTGACTGCCATTATGAGTTGATTTCTTTTTACTTATGTTTCTAGCTGGTACTGCTGCTCTGATTTTTGTTATGTTAACCTTACATTCAGAATTGCTCACTTGCTTTCTGCCTGAGTTTGGGTGGGGTTCAGAATCACTGATTCCCTCCTGGGGTGCCCCTCTCTCTGGGATCAAGGCACCCAGAAGGATGATAAGTTCATTAGAAGACTGCATAGAAGCAGAGGATCAGACCAAAGAAATTTCTAGAAAAGCCCCACGAATACCCCCAACCCACGACCGAGAGCATTCTCGTCCCCCAGATTCAACATCTTCCCTCCGGGTTGCAAAGTGTTGAATACACCCAGATATATCTTGTGTCTACGTTGACAGGTCCCTCTTGCATAGAAACCCTTTTTTTCCTTTGGTAGCTATGTTGGTACCACATACTGAGCTGCCATAAAAGTTGCCAAACCTATGGGCTGGGGAGCTACTTTGTCAAGTAACTCCCAAGGAGTTACTTTCCTCTCATAACATGTGCACACAGTGACCCAGTGCTTGCTGGCCCACAAACTTCATCAAATCACCCTAGCCCAAAGAGGTAGCAAGTACAATCACTTGCTCACCCAGAAATCTGTGGTCCCCAAAGCAGCAAGGCCCCACTGTGCACGGTAACTCAGGAGAAGTCTGACAGCCTGAATCCCCATTTTCTTGAGGGGATATTAGTTTTAAAAACTGACATCTAAAAATTCTCATCAATCTACAGCTGGTAACTTACCACCGGCACCTTAAGGAACAGAACAGATTGACGGGCCATGCTTAAATTTGCATGTCTTCTAAGAAAAATCAGGTTCAACCACATTGGAGGTGAAAGCATTCGGGGAGATTGCACCTGCTCTTCTGAGTCAGTCACCTGATGCAACCAGCTGGCCCTGGAAAGACATGCCGTGCTTTCCACGTCACCGGAAGGCTGTATGAGAGCTCTCCGGGGTAAAGCCCACCTCGTCTGCTGGGGGCCTGTACACCTCGGCCACTGCTTCCCACCAGCGTGCAGGGGGCCAAAGGCAGGACTGTGCAAAGTGGGCTTGTGAAGGGGTTTCAAGCTGGCTTTCACTAGTACGAGTCCTTTTCTCCTTCTCTGTGTTCAACAGCAATCATCCTAGCAGGCTTCCTGACCCCAGCAGAGGTCCCAAATAGACACGTCGAGCAAATTTTAAATGGCTTTATTAAAGGCTGTTAATATAAAATACAACAAAGTTATGAGCAGTCAGTAAGAAGTTTTCATTTTTGAAAACATATATCAAAGAAAGGGAGGCTGCTGTGACACCCACGGGGTGGGTGCAGCTGGGTGCCACATCCTGCTGTTCCCAGAGCGGGTGGCACACCCAAACCCAGAGGGCAGGGGCAGCGGGGCTGGGGGGGGGGGGGGGGGGGGGAGCGGTTCCAAACCCAGAGGGCAGGGGCAGCGGGGCTGGGGGTGGGGGTGGGGGGGGTAGCGGTCCCAGGTGAAAGGACTGAGACTGGTCTCTAGCCTCCTGGTGGAGATTTTCCAATGACGGTCACCCAAAGCAAGACACTGAATACCTGAGCTGAATCCCAGGGGCAGACAACAGGGTGGCCAGAGGGAGGGGATGCAAAACCACATTAGGCTTCAACTGAAAAGTGTGTGTTTTTAAAATGATAACTATAAACTTCTGGTTTTAGAAACGCCCTCGATACATGGCAAAAAGGGGGCAAAACATATAAGAGTTTAATTTTTCCTTTACTTGGACACACTAAACATAGATTCCCAGGAGGGCAGTGAAAGAAATCATCTTTGCATAGGCTGACCGGGCTTAAGAGGAGAATCTGCAGGGTCGGGCAGGATGGAGACCCATGAGCTCACGTCCTCCAGGCCTTCACCTCTCTCTCTCACGCTTCTGCGCTTCCGAAAGCAAAGCAAAGCAATACAACTTCAGTACTCCCTCTAGGATTTCCCAAGTTGTGGTTTTACATTTAATCTCAGGAGGCTGTACCTCTATGAAACTTTCAACACTGTTATGGATAACTGAATACTCTCGGGTACTGGACCCCAGATGGCGTTAAAGAAGGTGGAAGCTCTCAAAAGTCCCCGTGCCACTCATTTCCCAGGAGAACCTGAAGGGAATACTGGGTCTTATGAGAAAGTGGAAAAGAAATCAGAGTCATCTCCCGAAAGAACAGACACATCAGCTCGGGCTAACTGTCCCGGGATGCAGATCTTTCTTCCCTGCTACACCAACACCAAGGAATGCAAACTCCCGTCTAGACATCTTTTTTTCTTACGGGGACTCTGCTGGCAAGCATGGGTTCTAAGGTCACTGCCCTCAAAGCTGGAAGTGAGGGCAGGTGTCGAGCCCGGCTCCGAGGCTCAGCAGCTGACCTGCAGGGCTGGCACCCGGCCGAGCGTTTCCAGCTGGGATTTCGTTTTCCCCTCATCGCCGTGCTAGGAATCTTTTTTTCTCTTGAATGTTTCAACTATACTTAAACAGTACAGAAGGGACATGTATTCACCAAAATACCGTCAGTCACCAAAGGAGGAGGGTCAGATGCAAGACCCCAAGGGGCCAAATGAGGTTTAGGGACAGAATGCAATTGGCAGAAACCAAACCAAAAGTTGGCTAGGCCACAGCTTTGGCAGAAACTTTCCTGGAAAAAACAAGTCGCCATGTGCTTTACCTTGGAGCCAGATAAAATATTCTAAAAATCATTTCAGAAGGTCCTATGAAACAGAAAGGCATCTTAAAAAGACACACTTTGATACTGAAACTAGGTGCTCACTGGCAGGACTCGCAGGGATTAAGGCGTCAGGTGAGGAGAACACAGTGAGAGGCAACGTGGAGACCACGCTCGGGCACGTACTGCAGGCTCGCACCACCCGGGGCCGCGGGGTAGCGGCTCCCCGCCTGCCCTACCCCGCCCGGTCCTCCTGGGCAGCCTCAGAGCTGCCCTAACGCCCCTCCCCAGCAGCAGGGAACACAGGTCAAGCAGGCAGCTGAGTCCACCTCCAGGAGATGCTGTTGCCATGACCACGAAGGTCTCCAGGGGGCGCCGCTCGGGCCATGCAGAAACTCGACTCCGCTTCTGCTGGCGGTCAGGGTTGAGGGAGGGTCCACCGTGACGCAGCTTGACCAGTCCTTGGGATGAAGGACATCCAGTGCCCCTGCCAGCTTCACGCTGGAAGGTTCTAACACAACTAATCAGAAGGGCCTGGTCTGCCAGCAACACCCGCAGGTGCCCAGGACAGGAAACACCCAACAGGCCCCAGAAGTAGCAAAGAACTTCCAAAGAGAAACTGGTACAAACCCAAGAAAAGTGGTAGCCCTACAACTGCTACATCTAGGTACAAAATAATGTAAAGTTAATACAAAACTTTTAAACATGCAACTCGTTAATAAACAATGATGAACAGTTTGAATAAGTACCACGGCAGCTTAAAGACGACCTCCATCACGTGCCAACAACCTGTTTCCTGGAAATGACGTGAGAATGAAGGGTGGCACATGATGCAGAAGTGTGGCTTCAGCAAGGGAAGCCTGGACAGCTGGAGCGTGGGGTTGAGGACTCCCGCCACGTGGGGCAGGTCTCCCCATGGGCACAGCCAGCACCCAGCACCATTATTGCTGAGGACAGCCACCCACTGAAAGGAGCCCCGTGCATTTCTAAAAGGGAGGGGATACAGGAGAGGAGATGGAAATCACTTTATGATTTTTGTGGCAGGGTTGAGAAAAATCTTTCTCTGAGGAGGGGGAAAAATTGGGTGGAGCTAGAACAGAACTTTTATTTACAAGGTTTACTGAATTCCTAAGAGTTTTTAAAAATTCCAAAATGTAAAACTTCTGTTAATCAAATCGTTGAAAATAGCACAGGTATCTGGTCTTACCAAAAAGGGAAAAATCTGGAAAGCTGGACAAGGCAATATTTACCAGCCTCCAAATGGTTAAGAAAAGAGTGTACAGAAACTAGCAAAAGACACAGGGGAGCGCTGCCCTCCTCCTTCGCCACAGCACTTCGGAAAACATTTTGGGATTATTGGCTTGTTTTGTCTATAACACATTTTACCAATTGTCCAGAAAGTCAAATCCTGTCTTCAAGATGACATTACTTGAGCTGACCTGTAGAAGGGACAAAAACACCAAAATAAGGCATGAGACTAAGTTAGCACAATCTAAAAACAGCACCTCATTTAAAATGACCCAAATGAAATAGTCTGCTCACGTCTCAGAGGCTCCCTGACCTCAATTTGCCTCAGTGCTGGGAACCAGAAAATTAAATAAAGCTCAATGCAAGCCACACTCCGCCAGGATCCAACACGTACCCCGCTCCGTCCCCAGGCATGTCTGAGGGCAGCCTGCGGAACCTACCCACGGAGAAAAGGAGAAAAACGTAGCTTTTCTATTTTTGAATGATGGGCATGTTAAAATTTAGTCACTGTGGAGTGAGAGGACAAGTTACAAGTTCCATGTGAGCCTAATATGAAACACACACACACACGCTGACAGAAGAAACAAAATAAAATAAATTACCAAGTTGAGGGAGTGAAAAATATGGAGAAAGGATGTAAAGTTTATTCTTTTCTGATGATGCGGAAGGTTCTGGAGTGATCTTCCCTAACCCAGGGCCATTCTTCAGGTCACAGACTGCCCACTCACAAGACATGGGGTTGGTTTAAAGGGCCGTCTGTGAGCACAGGCCACTAATTCAGACACATTTGCACAGGCTTCTGCCAGCCGCCTGAGGTGAGAGGCCCGTCTCCCGGGTCTAACATGAGTGTGTGTTTCCCTGGTGGCCGCAGTCTTCCCGAGCGAGGGAGCCTTGACCCTGTGCTCTCCACACACCGGCAAACAGAAGATGCTGACGCAGAGGCCACGGAGCTGAACGGCTCCCTCTGAAGCATGTCCCAGGCCCAGTTTTGCCGCCTCTCAGGTTGAGCCAGAGACCGAAAAGCCCAAGGCGTTCAGGCACACGTTCCTTTTTCTGGTTTCCTACCAGTGTCTTACGTGCAGCCGCACTTCACGCTGTGCTGTGCACTCATAAATCGGTTCTTTCAAAGGGTTTCAGGTGCTCTGTCCTACTCACAGCCCCCAACCCCACACACACGCTTTCCTGCGTCTCGTTACAATGAAGACCCTCACGTAGCTTATATAGATGCTTCCTTCGGAGGCAGTAGACCCCACTGCGGAGTGTCGGAGAGAGAACACCAGGCAGGAAGATTAGGGCGGAGATGGAGCCGGGCACCAGAGCGGCAAGGGAGGGGCCCAAAGTGCCGGCCTAAGACGGCGGGAGACCCTGAAAGGAGGGACAGGCCGGAAAATTGATGTGCAGACGATGGAAGGCAGAGGGCCTCCCGTCCCAGGGCTCCCCTTCCTCGGGAGGACAACTGACTAGGTCATCTGCCTAGAGAGGCGTGGATATGCCGGGAGCCCCAATCCAGGAAACACCCAGAGGACGACCACAGCTCAACAACAAAACCCACAGCCAGGGACTGCCCTGCTGGCGCAGTGGTTAAGAATCCGCCTGCCACTGCAGGGGGACATGGGTTTGATCCCTGGTCCGGGAGGATCCCACATGCCACGGAGCAACTAAGCCCGTGCACCGCAACTACTGAGCCTGCGCTCTAGAGCCCACGAGCCACAACTACTGAGCCCGCGTGCTGCAACTACTGAAGCCTGCGCACCTAGAGCCCGTGCTCCACAACAAGAGAAGCCACCGCAATGAGAAGCCCGTGTGCCACAACTACTGAGCCTGCCCTCTAGAGCCCGCGAGCGACAGCTACTGAAGCCCTCGAGCCTAGAGCCCGTGCTCCACAACAAGAGACGCCACCGCAGTGAGAAGCCCGCGCACCGCAACAAAGAGTAGCCCCCGCTCGCCGCAGCCAGAGAAAGCCTGCGTGCAACAATGAAGACCCAACGCAGCCAAAAATAAATAAAATAAATAAATTTATTAAAAACAAAACAAAACACAGCCTCCCTCTGAAATACACCTACCTATTTATTTATTTATTTTGGTTTTGGGTGACCCTTAACCAAACATTTTCTCTTCCCTTTGCTGAGTTTTCTCAAGCAATGCAGAACAGCTGGTAACGACAACAGTTGGCGCTCCACAAAACTGGGAAAACACGGAGAAGCCACCCACGCTGTCTATTCTCTTGTAGGGCCCTTTCTTCACGACACACGGCATCGCAGCCAGTGAACCTCTCACATCTTTCTCTTCCTTTCCCTCCATTCCCAGAAAGAAGTCCTTTCTTTAGGACTCCTCCCTGGACACCTAACCCTGTTTTGCGTGGAAATGAGAAGTGGCCCATCATTCCTGAAGCAAGTCTCCCATGGTCCCCAAACAAGCACGGCTGCTCTCCTGGCAGAAGCTTGGGGTCCCAGCCACTTCCCCCATGTCCCTCGGGACATCTGCGGGTCCCTTCCTCACCGACACTGCAGCCCAGCCTCCCAGGCCCCTACGTGGAGCCGGCAACCAAATCCCACCCACACTGCCGCCTTCCCCCTCGAGTCCTCTGCTCACTGCCCCCTGTGTCCCTTCCGTACCTGCCCTCACACAACTGGGGAAGGGCGGTGGGCATCTGGGACACAACCACGGAACAGGCAAACAGGTCACGGCACCAGACGGCTTCACAGAACACGTCTCCTGCCTATGTGTTGGTCGCCAAGCTGAGCGACAACCCAGCAGACCTGAACCCAGAAGTCCTCCGAGGGATGGCAGAGGAAGGAGAAAATGGGGGCATCTGTGGTCCGCCCACCCATGTGAGGTGGCCCTGATCACTCAGGAGGAAGGAGCCCCTGGCCTGAAGCAAGGCACCCACCTGTACAGGCACGGATTCCGAGAACAGAGCACCCTCCGTGTCCCCCACGGGCTCGGAGGCGGCGGCTTCGCTCAGCGGGCTGCTGCAGGCCTGGGCGGGCTGGGGTCTCTCTCGCTCCACGCTGATGCTGGGCAGGACCCACTGCTCCTGGCGCAGGCTGCTGGACTTTTCCACCTTGGCCTCCCTGGCCTTCGGGGCGGGCTCCTGCCGGTAACAGACAGGCAAGACCTTTTCCCCCTTCTCCATAGACTTGATCTGGCTGGGGGTCAGCGACTGGAACTCGGCCTCAGGGCCCTCCCCCCGGGACCGCTCTGCATTGATCTTCCAGAAGGACGCTTCCTCTTCCTTCCGGGGGGCAGGACCCAGGGCATCCAGGCTGGAGGACCTGCTGCCCTGGGAGGGTCGGAGGGCCTGCGAGCCCTGAGGAGCTTTGGACAGCGGCCTGGGCTCGGTGGAAGTGCTGCAGCTCGGCTCTTGGATGGACAAGAAGGACACGCTGAACTCCATCTGACTCTAGCGGGATGTGGGGAGGGAGGGAAAGAAGAGAGCAACACATGCGGTCAACGGGATAGGTGTGCCGACCCACACGTCCCCCTAGTAGCAACAGCGCTGCCTGCTGTCCATTTGCTGGCACTGCCTGTCCGCCATCACAGCCCTGAAACACGGCACAAGCTTTGAGAGCCGTCACATCCTGTCACACTGGAGGCTACAAACAGCTCGGACTCCTGAATCTGACTGACGACTAAGGCCTCTGCTTGGTGAGCAGATCACCCACCCGCCTCTTCAGGAGGGATTCCCTCCCCGTCCTGAGGAGGGTGACTGCCCCCCTGGGGGTGACAAGGAAGGGTGCACAGTCAGCATGACAGCACTGCAGTGAGGGTCAAAACCCAGAACCAAGTCCCCACCTCACGGGCCTCTGCCTTCCTGACCGACGGCAGCCAGCAAGGGTGAAAGAAAAACCAACAGCCAGACCCTGCTCCCCTGGACTAAACCAAGAAAGTCAAGGGCAGGCCTGTGTGCGGCTGCAAAGATGTGATCCCCCTCCCACGCCTCCATCCCACACTCTGCCTGCATGCCCGCTACACACTGCATGTTTGTGTGCCCCAAATTCACACGTTGAAGGCCTAACTCCCGAAGTTAGTATTTGGAGGCAGGGCCTTTAGGAGGTTTAGTTGAGGTCATGAGGGTGGAGGCCCCAGGACAGGATTAGTGCCCTGAGAGATGCTCTCTTTCTGCACCATGTAAGGACGCAGTGAGAAGGCGGCTGTCTGCACATCAGGAAGAGGGTCTCCCCAGGACCAACCCTGCTGGCACCGTGATCTCGGACTCCCAGCCCCAGAACTGTGAGAAGCAGACGTCTGTTACTGGATGCCCCCAGTCTGCGGTATCTGTCACAGCTGCCCGAGCTGACAAGACAGTCTTCCTCTCCCGTGATCTCCTCGGTGCTACCCTGCTGCTCTCAGCTGGTCCTGTCCCTGTTAGGTGGGGACCCCCCGAGGGCAGGGCAGGGTCCACACCCCACATCCAAGTGCCCCAGAAACACTTTCCTTGATCTGATGCTGCTAACCACTGTGACCTCTAAAAGTGGTAGGGCTGAGCTGTTCTGACCAACAAACCACTGAGTGGAAACCTAACGCCTCCTTACAGTGGAGCACCCTGGAGGGTGGCGTCCGCAAGCCCTGCAGAGCGAGCAATCTGCTGCCTCAGGCATTTCTCAAATTAAACTGGAACATTCTTCTCTTCCTCTCCACTTCTGCTCCCTCATACATTCCCTTCCTCTTCTTCTTTTTAAAATAAAAGTACTAAAACTACATATACTAAAATTTGGGGAATTAGAAAAAAATCATTCATAACCTTTCCCTCTTCCCATAATCTCTATTAGTTTGTGTAGTTTCGTGTAATCTCTCTCAGATACATATTCTATGATGCTGCAGCTCTGTTATGCATATAATTTTGGACGTTGTTTCTTCACTTAACCAGAAGCATCATCAATGGTGTTATGTTGTCTTTGTAATCATTAGTTTGAATGGGCACAAAATATTTCATTGAGTGGCTGTCCCACCATCTACTTTCCCATTTTCTTTTTATCAGTTTGCTGCTTTTAATTTCTGTTGTTATAATTGAGGCTGTCAGAACATCTTCATGTACACAGCTCTCCCCCATTTGGAGTTAATTTCTTCAGACAGATTTCCAGAAGTGAAGTAGCAGACTACAACAGGTTCAAACCTTTCTTTTATTATGGCTTTGGGTGCATATACCAAATTTGCTTGCCAGGGGCTGCCCTGATTTCTAATGCTGCCAGCTATATATCAGAGTAGCAACTGCAGCCACTGCTTCCGTGTTGTCACTGAGTATAATTTACAACTGTGCTAACATGGCTCTCTATTACTTTAATGCATACGCCTTCGCTTCTCTCTGGCTGAGACTTTTCCTAAAAGCCCAGATTCTGATGGCCACAGGTCTCTCCTCAAGATGATGAGGCCACAAGGAACTCCAGCTCCAAACACAAGCACAGGCTGCCTTGAAGCTCAGGGTTATAAGAAATAGAACCCAAGAAAAAACATCAAAGCCCATTCAGAGCCTCAGAGCATAGCACAGCAACAGGTGTGCAGAGGGCAAAGCGGAGAGAGACCTGCACAGAGGGTCTGTGCAGAGCGGCACTCCCCGGCCTGAGGCGCTTGTCTGCTCCACTGCTGGAGCAGGTGGGGGCTGGGTGCTGAGGCTCAGGCTTCGGGGGTCAGACCCTGGGGAGGGGACTGGGCCTTCATCAGAAAACAAGACAAATCTCAAGTAAACAAACTAACCTATCACCTAAAAGGATTAGAAAAAGAAGAACAAAAACCTAAGTCAGCAGAAGGAAGGAACTAATAAATATAAGGGAGGAAATAAATAAAACAGAGGTTAGGGGCTTCCCTGGTGGCGCAGTGGTTGGGAGTCCACCTGCCGATGCAGGGGACGCGGGTTCGTGCCCCGGTCCGGGAAGATCCCACATGCCGCGGAGCGGCTGGGCCCGTGAGCCATGGCCGCTGAGCCTGCGCGTCCGGAGCCTGTGCTCCGCGAGGGGAGAGGCCACAACAGTGAGAGGCCCGCGTACCGAATAAAAAAAAAAAACGAAAAAAAAACAGAGGTTAAAAAAAACATAGAAAAAATCAACAAAACCAAGAGCTGGTTCTTTGAAAGGGTAAACAAAATTGACAAACCTCCAGCCAGGCTCACCAAGAAGAAAAGAGAAAGAACCCAAATAAAATAAGAAATGAAAAAGGAGAAATCTCAACTGTTACTGCAGAAATACAAAAAACCATAAGAGAATACCAAGAACAATTACGTGCCAACGAATTTGACAACCTAGAAGAAACGGACACCTTTCTAGAAACTTACAGCCCACCAAAACTGAATCAAGAACAAATAGATAATTTGAACAGACTGATCACTAGAAGTGAAGTAGAATCTGTAATAAAAAAAATTCCGACAAACAAAAGTCCAGGACCAGATGTCTTCACAGGTGAATTCTACCAAACATACAAAGAAGAATTTATACTGATTCTTCTCAAACTCTTCCAAAAGATTGAAAAGGAGGGGACACTCCCAAAGACATTCTATGAAGCCACCATCACCCGGATACCAAAACCAGACAAAGACACCACTAAAAGAGAAAATTACAGGACAATGTATTTCATGAATATAGATGCAAAAATTCTCAACAAAATATTAGCAAATCAAATCCAACAACACATATAAAAGATCACACACCACAACCGAGTGGGATTCATCCCAGGTTCACAAGGATGGTTCAACATACGCAAATCAATCAACGCACACCACATTAACAAAAGAAAAGTCCAAAACCACATGATCATCTCAATAGATGCAGAAAAAGCATTTGACAAAATTCAACATTCATTCATGATTAAAAACTCTTACCGAAGTGGGAATAGAGGGAACATATCTCAACATAATAAAAGCTATTTATGACAAACCCACAGCCAATACAATACTCAATGGTGAAAAGCTGAAAGCCTTGCCACTAAAATCTGGAATAAGACAAGGATGTCCACTCTCTCCACTTCTCTTTAACATAGTATTGGAAGTCCTAGCCACAGCAATCAGACAAGGAAAAGAAATAAAAGGTATCCAAGTTGAAAGGGAAGAAGTAAAATTGTTACTATATGCAGATGACATGATACTATATATAGAAAACCCTAAGGACTCCACACAAAAACTACTAGATCTAATAAATGAATGCAGCAAAGTAGCAGGATACAAGATTAACGTTCAGAAATCAGTTGTACTCCTTTACACTAACAGTGAAATGTCAGAAAGGGAATGTAAAAAAAAAAACCTTTTAAAATTACACCAAGAAAAAAGAAAAAAAAGAAAAAACCTAGGAATAAACCCAAACAAGGAAGTGATTTATACACTGAGAACTATAAAACATTAATAAAGGAAATAAAAGAGGATTCAAATAAATGGAAATATATCCCATGCTCTTGGACTGGAAGAATGAACATTGCTAAAATGGCAATACTACCCAAAGCAATTTACAGACTTAATGCGATCCCTATCAAATTACCCATGACATTTTTCACAGAACTAGAACAAATAACCCAAAAATGTATATGGAACCATAAAAGACCCAGAATTGCTAGAGCAATCCTGAGGGGGGGAAAAAAAAAAAAAAAGCAGGAGGCATAACTCTCCTAGACTTCAGACAATACTACAAAGCTACAGTAATCAAAACTGTGTGGTATCACTACAAAAACAGGCATACGGATCAATGGAACAGAATAAAGAACCCAGAAATAAACCCACACACCTACAGTAAATTAATCTTCAACAAAGGAGGCAAGAATATAAAATGGGAAAAAGACAGTCTCTTCAGCAAGTGGTGCTGGGAAAGTTGGACAGCGCATGTAATCAATGACGTTCAAACACACCCTCACACCATACACAAAAATAAACTCAAAGTGGCTTCAAGACTTAAACATAAGACAAGACACCATAAAACTCCTAGAAGAGAACACAGGCAAAACATTCTCTAACATAAATCGTACCAATGTTTCCTTAGGTCGGTCTCCCAAGGCAACAGAAATAAAAACAAAAGTAAACAAATGGGACCTAGTCAAACTTACAAGCTTTTGTGCAGCAAAGAAAACCATTAAAAAAACCCCAAAAAGGCAACCTACAGAATGGGAGAAAATGTTTGCAAATGATGTGACCAACAAGGGCTTAATCTCCAAAATATACAAACAACTCATACAACTCAACAACAAAAAAACAAATAACCCAATCCAAAAATGGGCAGAAGACCTTAACAAACATTTCTCCAAAGAAGACATATAGGTGGCAAGTAGGCACATGAAAAGATGCTCAACATCACTAATTATTAGAGAAATGCAAATCAGAACTACAATGTGGTACCACCTCACACCGGTCAAAATGGCCATCACTAAAAAGTTTACAAATAACAAATGCTGGAGATGATGTGGAGAAAAGGGAACCCTCCTACACTGTTG